TTGCTACATGTGGGAACTGACTCCATGGCACTTGCCAACTATAACAACAAAGCTTGGAAAGGGCTGCCAACACCCAGAAAGAATGAATATGAAGAGAAAAGGGCAGAAATGAGGGACCCTTAGGAAACACCAATGTATGAGGGTTCCAGCAATGAGAAGAAGATATAGTTAAAGAGATGAGAGGAAAACTAAAACAAACTGATCTAAGAACCAAAAGAGTTTTAAATAGAGACCAAGTATCCAACTGAAACACAGATGTCAAGAAAATGGAAGGCTAGAAACACCATGATTTGGCAAATCATGCTTCAGTGAAAGCAATTTCCAAGAAACAGTGAAACAGAGTCCAGAGGCCAAATGTCCCAGTTTGTCCAGAAATCAGGGATTCTTAAGCGTGTGAAACTTTCAGTGCTAAAACTGAGATAGCCCCCGACAAATTTGGGATTGTGGACCATACTAGAATTCAAGATGTAGTTAAATTTAAATAACAGATGAGATAGAGGCAAAAAAGTATAGACTCTTTTTCCGAGAGACCCGACTCTAAAAGGAAAGACTTCATAATATTTAAAGAGGAAAGTTGGGTTGGGGCGCTTTTCTGTTCTTTTTACTATTTTAAGGCTAGAGGAAAACAATGAGGAGGGTGAGGCAGAAACAGAATAACTGAAGAAGCAGCATCTTGTTCTCACAAGGGAAGAGAGGCAAGTTAGTCAGCCATGAGGTCAGGAAAAAGTCCTGCCTGCTCACAGGAAATATTCAATGTGCAAGTCCTATGGCCATCTACTCAATTCTGATGCATAGTGTCCCTGGAGGACAGAGTTGGTGTTGCTAAGGACGTCAAGTTAGTTCCAACTCAAAGCGACTCTGTATAGAGTTTCCGAGAAGTGGCTGGATGAGTTTGAACCAGCAACCTTGTAGTTCAAACGAACCTTGCAGTTGAGTGCTTATTGTACAATGCCACACCGGGACAAAGTAGACTGCCTCATAGGGTTCCCAAAACTATAACCTATACCAAAGCAAACTGCTACATTTTTCTTCAGCAGAGCTGCTGGTGGGTTTGAACCTCTGGTCTTGCAGTTAGCAGGTAAGTGCTTAACCACTACACCACCAGGGCTTATTAATGTAGAAGTGTTGTTGTTGATAAGTGCTGTCAAGTCGATTCCAACTCAACTCAACTGTCGATTCCAACTGAACTCAACTGAAGAACCATTGGTGGGTTTGAAGTGTTGCTCTTTAGATCTGGCCGGTGCTTATCCTAGAGCACTACACCAAGACTGCAAATGTAGAGAATGAGAATGAGAAATTAAAAGGATTATTCACTGCTGACGGTCTTCATGTTGTGAGGACATAGAAGTGAAGGAAATGATTGGAAAAGCTTCATGGAAACAAGCAACAGCTTGAGACTACTATGTAGAGGCCCAAGAAAGACACGAAAATACATTCCAGGCACCAAGGAAGGCCCAGCTGAGACAAGGAATTATGAAATGTGATAGACAAGTATAATTGTTGTTACAGACTAGGTTTGGCTCTGCAGCCTGCCCAGAATCATAACATATCAAGCAGATTATAGCTCATTTCTGATCTTGGAAAATATCAATTATTGCATTTCAAAAAATTTCCTTGTGGCTAAACAAAAAAAGAAGAAGAAGAAGAAAGAAAAACAACTTTCTAATAAAGATAAAGGTTTCAATAGAAAATGGCATATGAAAAGAAGCAACAATATGCCAGGGAGCCCAGGGCACTGCTTACTGTACTACAGTGTGAATTATGGTCAGACACAAGTATATTCAGAATGAAAAGTGATGTGGAAGAAGAGGAATCAGAGATGGTCAATTTGGAGACTACAAGAATGCACACATTCTTGGCATCCTGAAGGGTCATTTAGAACCTTTAAGCAATGGCAAGTTTTGGCCCCTTGTTATTACACACTGAGCCCACAATCCCTTGATAGGCACTTAAACACACCCTATATCCTATACCTACAATTACCCATTGCAATAGATTTTTATCCAACTTGCCAACTGGAAGACTATATCTTAAAATGGTTAACTGATCCAAAGCTTCATGGCTGGTACATTAGTAGAATTGAGATTTACCTAAAGTAATTGATTTAGCCCCTCCCAAATCTTCAAAAATTTTCACCTATAAAATTGATTCTCAAATACTACTGTACCGCTAACCACAAGGTGGCGGTTCAAACCCACCAACTACTCCTTGGAAGCTTTATACAGGGTTGCTATGAGTTGGAACTGACTCTACAGCACTGAACAAGAAGACAAGAAGGAAGAGGGGAAAAAAGAAACAATAGAGTAATACTAATTAGCCACAGGGTTATTAATACTTTTTGATTGTACAATTCTATTCTATATTGGACTCACTATAAAATAGCATACATAAATTCAATTATTGATAAATACTATTCTGTTAACACAATAGAATGGATCACTCTTCATCACTTCAAAATAAATTCAACGGACAGCAAGTGTCTGGGAGTTGAAAAAGTTCTTTTTATCATAAACAGGAACCACTGCTGAATTTCCTGTGCTGGTTTCCTCAGACAGGTTTTATTCCTAAGAAAGTAAGACTGTATTTAAAATTGCATCTGTAATTTTTGGATACCACCAAGCCCCACAAATTCCTTTCTGAAACCATCATGATACTTTTGACAGGCACAAACAATGACATGAATTTTTAAAATATACCAGTAACAGTGAGGTTGGTGTGGCGCTGTAGGTTAATGTGCTGGACTTCAAAGTCAGTTGTAACGGCAAGGTTGGCCATTCAAGCTCACCAGCTGCTCCTTGGAAACCCTATACAGTGTCACTATGATTCAGAACCGACTTGACAGCACTTCACAACAACAACAATCTAGAGGCAGTTCTCCTATGCAATGTAATCAATCAATTAGCCAAATCTACTTATATTTTCTTGATGTTGCTCTTTTCCTGAATTTTAATGACTGGTTGATCAGGGAACCAGTGAGCTGGCAAGTCTTCAGTACTGAGGGTTTCCCTCTGTCTCTCCACTTGCTCACTTCCAATCCATTCTTCCCTCCTCAGCTTCTCAAATATCCTGATGGTGATATGTGTCTTCTCTGTCACATTCATGGCTGGTTAAGACATATCTCTGACTTTCTCCCTACAAAATCTTCCTCAGATAACACATCAGTCCAGAGCCTCTTCTGATTCCATTCATCATATCTGCTATTCAAAGAACAGATTCCTTTGGAAACTTCATAACCCTCACCATTCCCATCCAGGGGAGAGTGCAGTTATAAGGGGTGAGAAGAAATGGGAAGGCAGAATTCAAGGGGGTGGAAACGGGGTAAAAAGGATGTACAACTTGTAAAAGAAAGGGCAGATGCCAAACAGATGGGCAAAAAATAATTTGGGAACCCACAATCCTATTCTCTTCCATGTATAGAAAGCATCTGTCTATGGACCACTGGCAGGGCACTGTAGGATCAGCACTGGACTGCAAACCCCAAGGTCAGCAGTTCAAACCCACCAGCTGCTCCTTGGAAACCCTATACAGGGTCGCTATGAGCCAGAACTGACTTGATGGTACTTCACAACAACAACAGTCTATATATACATATGTGCACATATGAATATCCTTGGTGCAACTGTTAAGCAGTTCAAACCTACCAGTTGTTCAGCGGGAGAAAAGACTTGGTGATCAGCTTCCATAAGGATTACAGCTTGGAAACCCTATGGGGCAGTTTCACTCTCTCCTATAGGGTCACTGTGAGTCAGAATCCACTGGATGGCATATAACAACTAAACATGTGTGTATATATATGAATTTGTTTATATATCTGCATATGTATGTATCATCTGTGTGTATGGATATGTGTTTGCTCACATACCTGTAGAACCATGTCAAACACTGCAGTAGCCTCACAACGTTTTATACATTTCTCTTCTGAACTTCCTATCAAACTGTGAAAAAGTGAGAAACGCAGGATTGTTGCCATCTTGATTTTCTCAGATTAGAACATTTAGGTACAGAGAGGTTATGATTTGCCCAGTACTTACCAACCCACCCACCCACCCACCCACCCAAAGTTCTTGTTATTTTTATGTGCAGTCGATCAGGTCTAACTCAAAGCCACCCTGTATAAGGGCTTCTGAGGAGCAACGGGTGAGTTTGAATCACCAGTATTGGACTTATCCTACAGCGCCACACCAGGATTCCAAAGTGCTTAGAGAATGGGAAAAGGAAAGGAAAGAAACTGACCCCCAGGTTAGCCAAAGTTAGAGATTTTTGAGAAAAGTCCACAGAAAAAAAATATGGGAGAGATCAATGAGAGGTGGGATAAAATGGAAAAATTATGCACTGATGCTGATGGGAGAAGGAAATAGGGAGATGTGGGATTTAAGAGGAAGAGTGACAGAGAAGAGAACCATACCCAAGGACCAGCACCCAGAGGTCTTAGTCTTCAGGCCAGCTCAGCACTTGCACCTAGGGAGGCTAAGAGACCACTCAGAAAATCACCCAAATCAATAACAACATAGCTCTGCTTCATTCTTTTCAAGATCGGCTTTAATTGATAATGCATTCAAAAGGAAAGAGAAGGTAACAGGATACTGTCTTGGAAGGGACAACTGCACTAAAACAAAACAAAACAAAACAAAACAGAAAAACACTGCACTCACTCGGGTTGTCTTTTTACTGAAGAGTTAGAGAAGGGTTAGGTGGCTACTAAAGTCACCTTTTTGCACCTCCCACAATCCCCACCGGATTCCCCAAACACCATCTTGGTTTGATTTGTCTGGTCCAGTAAGAACCTACCAATGGCTTTTTAATTTAAATTAATAATCAAAAACTACTTGGGGCTGTAATTAATACAATCCCTACTTCCTCTTGGTCTCTTTCTTTCTGACTTGTATTGATTTTTTTTTTTTTTAATCCTCTTTCCATGTGCATTTTCCTATCTTTAGGAGAGACCCGAAGCCAGACATTGGCCACAGCAGTCTCTAACAGGTCTGAAGGCTACTTCACATTCAGTCCCGATGAGCCCCCTCCTCCCCAGGTACCTCGTCCCAAACCCCGTCGGATCGCCAAAGATTCGAGTAAGTTGTGCGGTTGTAGCTCGCACAGTAATCGTAGGACACCTGATGGGGCGCTGGGGTCAAAGGGAGAGCGCAGTCTGGGAAGAAGGGGGCAAAAGAGGCTAAATGGCCAGGCCCATCTTCCCCTCCCTGAGAGTCCGCAGCGGCAGGGTACAGGGGGCGCAAGGGCTCGTTCAAGGTCAAAGCCCCTCGAGAGCCAGTCAGGGGCATCTTCTTGGTAGGTTGACCGGGGGTGCTCCAGGACTCAGAGTATAGCAGACTCCCCACCATCGCTGAAGAAGGCTCAAATAAGCCAGGCTCCAGCTCCGGGGGTCCCCGCAGGGCAGCGGTTGCAGTGGGGAACACATCAAGAGGCTCAGGGGTGAGCAAGACGCCCGCCTCGGTGCCAGCGCCGTAGTCGGGCCCCAGGAACTCGAAGAATTCCACGGCCTCCGCGCCCTTCTCCAGGTCGCCCAGGCTAATGCCGGGCCCCGACGTGCCGCACCCGCCACTGCCTGCCCGGGATGGCTCGGTGAAGAAGGACGGGGGCAGGTTGCGAGCCCGCAGCGGGACCTTCCTGGCGCCAGGAACCACTGCACCTCCTGCGGGGCCGACCACTTCCCCTCCAGCATTCCCAGCGCCTGAACCGCTGAGCCCGGTCGCAGGCGCAGCCACCGCGCCCCCCGCCGGCTCGTCGCCCGCTGGGATGTGTCTCAGGGAGTCAAAGAGCGCAGCCAGGCTCCGGCTTTGCAGGCTAGCGGCCGCCGCGGCCTGGGACGCTTCTCGCCGAGGGGCAGCCTTGCCGTGGGCCGGGACAGCGACCGTAGGAGCGCTGGGGGCTGCAGGCGAGCGTTTGGCTTGTGTGTCGGCGGCACCAGGGGAAGGCGGGCCCGGGGGCGCAGTGCCCATAAGGCCGCTGCAGCGTTTGATCTGCTTCTGCAAGTACTTGCGGTGATTCACCTTCCTCTTGGACTTGCCGGGCTTGTCGAGTGCCAACTTTATGTTGCTGGACGCGGAATCGATGAAGCTAAGCAGGTCTCGGGTGGCTTCGCGCACGTCCCCGCCCTCGGCTTCCGCGAGCAGCACGCCCGCGGGTGCCCTGGTCTCATCGTCCTCGAAGCAGCAACCCTTATCCAGGGCTCCGAAGGCGCCCCCCAGCCCGTTCGGGGCGCCCGCAAAGCCGAAAGAGACGAATGGGTGCGGGCTGAGGAGCGCCGCCTGTACTGCCATCACTGCCGCTCCCGGGCGACCCGTCGCGGCCCGTGCGCTCCAGGCCCGCTCACACCCAGAGGCCCAGGCCTGTCTCCCACCCCGGCGCGGCGCAGCCTTCTGGCTCCGGGACCAGCTAGCAGCTCAGCCTCCCGGGGGAGCTCATTAGGTCTAGTGAAAGGGGCGGAGGGAAAGAGCGCGCGGCAACCGCCCTGGTGGCAGAGAGGAGGGACTTATTTTGTTTAACCGATAGGGTGGGGGAGGATGCTTTTCTGGTTTTCTGGGCTTTCCTGTCATTAACCCCTTCGTTTTCCTTCGCCTTGATGCTATTTACTAGGCGAGGGAAGGACATGGAACTCGATGCACCGGTACCAAAACTCTAGCCCATCTCCTGCTTTAAGTGGTGCAAACATGCATGGGGGAGCGCTGAGAGAGGTCAAGAGGCTAGAGGTGTGGGTTTCAATCCCAGCTTTGGTAACTATCAACCACCATCTCATGTCATCCTTGCGCGGCATCATTGTGCAAGTGCACATTATTATCACCACTTAACAATTGAGGAAGCTGACCTGCAAAAGGTTCAGGGGGTTGCCTAGACTTTGATCTCAAAACAATTTCTAAGTCTTTGACAAAACTTGTGTTCTCTCTGGGTCTCTGTTTAGTTATCTATAAAATAGGGGAATGAAACTATTGTCTCCTCAAGTTGTTTTAGACGCCTGAGTCTGGTGCTTTTTCTTCTACCCTTTGATTGTTGGAAGTAACCATTAGTTTACAGTTGAATTCAGGCCAACACAAGGGGAAACTTTTGTTGGTAGATGGCAGAAAGCAGGGAGAAAGGAATTGTCCCTCTAAATCAGCTGATGAGAGAGAGTGAAAGGCTCTGAAACTTTTATACTGTTGTTGTTATGTGCCGTCCAGTCGGTTCCGACCCATAGTGACCCTGTACAGGGTTTCCGAGGGTGTAAATCTTTAC